CAGGTATTGTCATGGACTGGAATATCATCTGTGTGCAGAAAGACTTTATCCAGACAAGCCTTTGGCAGAATGTACAAATTTAAGGAGTCATATTCCTGCTTATTTGTCTGGATGCTTTTCCAAGTGGGTCTCTCAGTTGAGGTGCTCAAGTTTTACCCATTACCACATAAGTTGGCCACCTGAGGGGAACGTTTTTCATATTAAATGGTTATTTTTATGCTAGACGAAGCTTGGATTGAAAGGGTGTCAGCTGGCTGGAAGGACATTTTTAAGGTCACTACCCCCTCATACAAAACTGGCTGCTTTTTTGATGTTGTCGTAGTCCTGACTATATTAAAGTCATTCAGATGCAAGAGAAAGAAAAATTTTAAATAAAAATTCCTCCCACACAGCACCAAAACGTCACACTCATAGGGTGTGATGTAAATGATCACAACCTCTGTGTGTAGGGATACAGTTAGTCTAAATAGCTCAAAAGTCGCTTTTTGTAACAGATTTTAAAGAAGAAAAAAAAATAAATAAATGAGTGATATGGATGCTTTTGCAGGCTTTCATCCTAAATATATTTATGTCACGGACGGGAGCGCCACGCAACATGAGCAGATCAAAATGACAAGGAAAGGAAACCACATGACCAGAAAATCAGTAGCTTTGGCTTCTCAGAACAACAGAGCTCAGCAGAGAACCACACTCCATATCAACTTCTGCATCGTGGCACAGATATAGGTCAGCGCCGCTAAAGCATCTGCAAATCTACAGATTATCTACTAGCAGGTTTTTAACACTCTAATCAGAGCAAATCCTCTGGAGTAGAGTTGATTCTTAGTTCACTGATTTAGCCAAAAACTGGAGATGGCAGGAAGGTCTCAGGAAGCTCTGCACAGGAGCAAAAAATTAACTGGAGGTATTAAAAACAGAAACATTCGCATGTGGTGCAATGCCAACAGAGCTTATTTGAAAGAACAGAGAGAGGAATGAAGCCAACAGAGACTCCACTGCCAACATTTCTCACATTTGGAAGGCATTTTTAAACCTGCAGGGGCCTCCGCCTTTATGGCTTGGCCTCTGCTGCGTTTACCAAACAGCCCCACCTATTTAGAGTGATGATAAGAAAAAAAGAGAATTAAAGAAGAATTTAAGCAAATAAAAAAAAAACCTATAGTCAGAGTTTTTCAGTATTTGCCAATTGCCTCCTAGAAGTGTTGTTTGATCTGACTCTCATTAAAGTGCAAAAAACTTCCTGCCATCCAACTTTGGATATCAGTAAGACAATCAAGGTGATGCTCTAGGCAGCACAAGCCCATGCATTTACTGGACAATAAACTTGACAGTTGTCGGCATAGAGATGAAAAGGACTTCTGTGCTTGCAAAGGTTTGCACCTCGTGGAAGTAGGTGGAGAGAAAATGTACTGTAGGTCCAAGAATGGAACCTTGGGGTACCCCCAACAGACAGAGCAGCAGGAGTGATGGAAGTAGCATTAATATTACACAAGATTTTGTCCAAGGGGTATAACCAAAATCAATAAGGAGCTCAGCTAATGATGCCGACCCACTGTTTAAGTCCAACGGTACAAGAGGAAAGTGAAGAGAGTCCGGCTGTATTGCATAGTTTTCCCCATAAAATATGAAATAATTATTTGAAAACAACATTCTGTTTGAGTTATCTCCTTCTGGAATTAAAATTCACTTGATGGCCTGAAACAAACAAATGTAACAAAAAGAAAGAAGCTAAAATCGACAAAATATTTATGGGTGTGGATTTGTTTTTATGATACTGCATGTTTGCGAGTGAACTCGCTCTCAGGTCTAGATGATTTATTCCATGCACAGGTTTTCATAATTAATGCTCCCCAGAGTGCTCTGTGTGACACCAAGTTGCTGAGGAGAAAGGGGGCAGGTATAAAAATAGCGCGGACACCCAACATCATCTCATGCATTATTAAATGCAACCCACAGTCCTGAACTGTATCCTTTATGATACTTAACGCACTGTGGACAAGGGGACAATTAATGAGCCTCTGGGACATAATTGCCCAGCAGACAAGATAAAGGCTAATATAAAAACTACATATTTACCAAGAAAAGAGAGGATTTACACCACATGTGCACTTCTACCACTGAACAACTTTGTATACACTGTAGTCTATCTTTGTCAGCGCAACTAAAGATGCTAAGTTCTCATGGTCAGTGTGCTATATATATTTGCATTTACAAGACCAGCATATATGCTTAACCGAAAGAGTCAGCTGCACCATTAGGATCCATCCAAAATAGAACAAGGGATAAGCTTTCCTGTCTTATCCACGAGAAGTACATAATAGGACTCAGTCTTACACATATTGATCTGTTATCCAGCTCATTAGCATGCAGTAATTGGGACCGGGCATAAAAAAAGTTATGATGCATAGATTTGAAATAAACATCCAGCCAGGGCAATAACAAATGGTTTAGATAAGGCATTTCCAGGAGAAAAGATGTCAAAGTTGCAGTCAGGATGACCTTAAGTTAATTTGGAAAGAAGAAGGAGCATAAAACTCTAGATGTGCAAAGCAAGTGGAGTGCCAAAATGCATGTGGGTATAAGGGTATATAAATTGTCTGTTACAGTATAAATATCTGCAGAGTGGAAAACTAAGTGTAGTTCATTTTTTGTGTGAACAATCTTGACCAATAAAGCTGATTCTGATGAACAGCAACTGACAGAAAAAAAGCAATCACATATTGATCACAATCGCAGAAGAAGTGATCACAACATCATCGCCACCTATAAATTAGTGTCTGCATTAAGCCACATAGGGATTCTTCACCCATATCTCCTGAAAACAACTAAAGTCAGTCTATTTCTTATCCCAAGGTGACCATTTTCTGACAAACGCCTCAGTTACAAGGTGCATCTGCAAGATCAGGTGACAGATTGCACCAATTGGTGCGCATGCATCCAGTTAAAGCAGCCAGTGTGCATTTCAGTTACCTGGCAACCTCTTTGAGAAAGTTGTAACTAGAGTCAGGCATGGGAAATTTACAGTAGCAGCTGGCAAAATAACCACACATATGAAACGTCATCACTGGCAGCAGTTTCTCATCATATCCAAATCTCCCTGAAATGATGGGTTGATTTTTGCCCCATACACTATCTCATTTTCTATAGTTGCCTTGTATGACAGTAGAGACAGAGAGAGATGTTTTCTTCTTACCACCAACACTGAAGTTCTGACAGCCTCACTGACGCTCTGCCTGAGCTCCGCCGCGGTCCCAGGCTTATTGAGCCCCCTGGTAAACTTCCTCGGCTCAGGTGGACCAATCCATCGCGCAGTTCACCTTTCATCTGGCAGGAGCAGAGCAATACCGAGTGAGAGTGGGAACGCCTATCTGATAGGTTTTACAATGCCGTTGTACCTGAAGTAAACTCATCGCCAACGCTGCGGCTCCCGACAACTCCGCTAAGTGTCACGCCCATTTCTGTGTATTGGTATCCAATTGGACAGCAGCGAAAACCAAAGGCGCCCATCATGTCTCCAGCCAACACCCTATGACTTCTTTTCGGAGTTTTTTTTTTTTTTAATTCAGCTTCCTTAACATCCGTCTTTAATTTGCGTTTCAGTTGCTTATGTTTTAATTTCTGATGCGACACAAGAAGCTGTCATGGGTGTAAAAAGGTTGGAATGCGCTCAGTTACGCGTTGATCTCAAGATACCGCAATCCGATGTCGCCACCTGCTGGAACAGGAATGTAACTACCATAGATATAGAGGGGCAAATAGGTCTGTCATATTCTGAGTGGAAACCACTATGAGTATTTTTTGGAAAAATTAAAATATAAATGAGATAATTAAATAATAAGAACTCAGCCGGGTATTTCACTTGTTAATTATTATTATTGTTTTAATAATATGATATTATTTTTAAAAATTACCTGATAATTCCAGCTTTTTTGGACTTTATTATCAAGAAATATTGCAAAGACAGAGGAAAAATTGATTGATGAATTACAACAGCAGCAATTTCCTTACGAATGATGCAAAGTGACGATGGTGCACAACAAAATAAGTTATACAACACAAGACAGTCACGTTTCTTGTATTTACAGTTACACGATTGGATAAAGAACCGTTTACTTAATTGCCAACAATAATAAAACTACTAATTTTTCTTGTGTTGATTTAACGTGATTAAATTGGACTACTAAAACCACCGCGATCACATTTTATCACCACCGGAAATTATGCGATTTATCGAAAGGCAACACTTAAATATGATTGGACAAGGTCTTTTGAATCTCAACCATAAGAAGCTAATGGAATGGTTCTACCGCGGCAGGGCCATCCAGGTGAAGGGAAGCCATCCTGGTCTTCAGCGAGGCCCGCAGCTCCAGCTGTGAAGAGCTGGAGGTCTGGGAAAGACCTCCAGCTCTTCCTCGAAGAAGCAGAGGGGGGAGATGAGCAGGAGGAGAAATGGAGAAGCTGCCTTACTCCCTGAAGCCACGTAGATCTGGACCTCATCTGCGGTTTCCAGGCTGAACCTCTAGCCCAGGGCTGTGAGGTCACCGCCCCGGGCCAGGAGCATCCGCTTCTCATCTGCACCTCAGCATAATGCTGCCGCAGAATGGTGATGGTGTTGTAGGCCCAGTATTAGGGGCTCGGATGGCAGGCTTGATAGCAGAAGCCAGATTAGATGTGATCCGCTGAATAGCCAGTGGATCACGGTCATCCCGCGACACATTTTTAAGATTGTGTGTCGCCTCCAGCAGTCTGTGCAGGCCTCTGACCTTCTCCGCAAAGTGTGGGTCATCTGACTGCTGGTGATTGTTGAGGCTGGACGGTTGGAGGACCAGTCTGACTCCGACATGAAAGGTAAGTCATTATTATTGTCATTATCAACAACATCTTTATAATAGATGGCCAATTTGATTCTGATGTGGCATTTTTGAAAGTTAACCCTTGTTTAAAAGGGAACACTGTGCATCACTGAGAGTGAAAGTTTTAGAAAGATTACACACATTTTTATTTACAATATCAGAGTGCCCCACCTTCCTACACTGGCTAGCGGGGCCATCTATTTTAGCCACTATGTCCAGTAGCTGAGCAAACCAACAGCGGTGGCCTTGGACCAGTAGATGTTGTCCCAGGAACCCGGAAAGCCTGTCTCTGCAACGTCGGGATGAAGCGGCTGAGCTGCGCAATGTGGATGTTCATGTGAGTTAGGGTCACCTGTTCACAGAGGGGGAGTGCCAGCGAGAAATTTGAATGCAACTTTTGGAGCAACTTTGCATTAAAAGGGTCATTATTTACTGAATGTCATTTCATAACAACATTCGCAGAAATTCACAAAGACTGCCTTTATGTTCATGACAGACGTTCCGTCAAGTTTATGATGGTGTCATGTCAGTCTTGTTCACATCTGTCTCATGTTTTACTGTTTGCTATGTAATAACATAGTAACAGTCTAAACAAATATATATATTTTAAATTCTAAAGGGAAAATACTGCAGCTTACAGGTTGACCTTTAACATATTTCTAGAAAAGATAAAAATGATTTAGAAAAGTGTAACATTTTTATTAACATTTTTTAACATGCACATGCTGCCGAATACAACTTTTATAACAAATTTCTTTTACATATTATGTCATGTCAGTTTTATGCGCACCCCATCAAGTAAAGTGTCACTGAAATCTGACACATTTCTACATAATCTTGTATATCTTTAAAGAAACATGTTCCAGATTCACCTTTAAAGCTGCAGAACCTTATAAAAATTAGATTCCTTAAAAATATTTGTTTAAGCTTTCCTTTGTCATTACAGAAAAGCAAGAGACTTATAATCTGTGGGAAAATATTCCAGCTGTCTTCCACTGACATGATATTATGATAGTGTTGACAAATATGTAAAAAAATATATATATTTATATATATTGCTATAAAACTTATATTCTGCAGTTTTAATGTCATGACAGATGTACACAATAAAATCAAGTAAATTGAACAACTTTTTTCTTTCAGTGTGTTACTGCACAGACACAAAGTCAATCACGACTGATATCTCTAGACATTTTGTTGATGTTCTCAGGTTTGTAGAGAAAAATACAACAAAATTATTTTTGTATCGAATGTCTAATTTTATTAAGCTTCTTGCTGTTAATCATAAGTTATCAATGAAAAGCCTGACTTACTGCAGGTAGTTACAGGTAGTTCTTTAAAGCCTACTTCCACAGTGGTTGGCTCACCCAAAGCACGATAGGTCAGCATCCTCGGACGGCGGCGCTCTCTCTTTGGATAGCTCGATGTAGGCGGTGAGACAGCTGGATCATCTTCTTCCTCAGAAACCGTTTCCACAGATAGCTCAGGAGGATCCTGGTGCAGCTCCACGTCTTGGCTTCCATCTTCTGGTATGTTGTCCATCCATGCAGCCTGCGGTTCTTTCACTTTTGGTGCATTGTCTTGATCATGTAGGTCTGGTGTAAATGGTTCAGCATCTGGGTTTAAGCTGACAGCTCGGTGACCACTGTGCTGAGCAGGAGGAAACTGGCATACTAGCTCCATTTCCTCATCCCTCTCACTGTCTGAAGTTTCTTCTTGTGGACAAAGATGACATGACAATGTACTCGACTTAGTCTTTTTAGTCCTTTTTGAGCTTATTTCTGGGTTGTCGATTGGGAGACTGTCACAGGGGAGCAGGAGGTTCCTATGCAGCACACGACTTTTACCACCTCCTTCTGGTACTACTTCATACACTGGACTGATATCACTTCTCCTCTTTGTGATGATGTGTACTTTATCTTCCCAAAAGGATCTGAGCTTACCAGGGCCTCCTCTCTCTGATAAGTTGCGTACAAGCACACGCCCCCCAGGCTGCAGGTCAGCTCCATAAACTCTTTTGTCATATCCTTTTTTCCCTCTGTTTGATACACAGGTAGCATATTTGGTTGCGATCTCGTAAGCCTGCTGCATCCTGCTTTGCCAATCTTTGACATACTCAGCATAGTTTGTTGTGTTTCGTTTGGCTGTATGTTAAACAGGAGATCTATTGGCAGTCGTGGAGATCGTCCATAGAGCAAATAATATGGAGAAAAGCCTGTGGAATCACTGCGAGTGCAGTTATATGCATGCACCATCTTGCATAAGGACTTTTTCCAGTCAGCCTTTTGCGCACTTGTGAGTGTTCGGAGCATAGACAGCAGCGTTCGATTAAATCGCTCCACCTGTCCGTTCCCTTGTGGGTGGTAGCAGGTTGTGTGGGACCCTCGCACGTGACAACACCTCTGCAGTTGAGCCATCAGCTGGTTTTCAAATTCCTTCCCCATGTCGTGGTGGATTTTCTCTGGGAAGCCAAAGCGAAGGGCAAAGTCATCAAATAGTTTTTCCACTACTGTTTTTGCGGATTTGTTTTTTGTGGGGTAGGCCTGTGCAAAGCGAGTGTAGTGGTCCATTATAACCAAAATATACTCAAAACCTTGCTTGCAGGCCTCTAGATGCAGAAAATCGACTGACACTAGTTCGAAAGGACGTGTTGTCACAATGGGCATCAGTGGTGCTCTGGCTGCTCTCTGTGGTCGTTTTGACTTTAGACACTCACACACTTGGGTCACAAAATGTTCTGTGTCCTGCTGCATTCTGACCCAGTAAAACCTGTCTCGAATCAGATTCAGAGTCCTTTCGACCCCCAGATGACCCATCTCCTTGTGTAATTCTTGAAACACTAACAGATGGTGTTCTTTTGGCAAAACTAGCTGAGACTTATTTCTTGCTTTTCTGTATAAGATCCCATCATTGCTGATATACAGTTTTCGCCACTGCCTCAAAAGCACCCTGACGTCTGCAGGCTCAGTTTTCACCACTTCCCTGGGGGGGAATTGATCTTGGCTTTTATAGTACATGACTCGCTTGATGAGATTGTCGTTCTTTTGACTTTCTCTGATCTGTTCTGGTGTTAGTGGGGCAGCCAATGAGGATGAAGATGCATCACTTACTAAATCCAGTGTTTTGATGTAAGCCGTGGTTAACCAGACAGAGGGGGCATCTTGAAGCACAGTTACTCCCTGAATTGAAGCACTGATCACATCCTGAGTCACTTCCTTTGTGCATTGCTGCAATAAGTCATTTATGTCCAGTGGCATGCGAGAGAGGCCATCTGCGTCTGCATTGTGTTTGCCTGGTCGATATTTAATGGTGAAATTGAAATCTGCAAGTTGGGCAACCCACCTGTGACCTGTAGTGTTTAATTTGGCTGTGGTGAGAATGTAGGTCAGGGGGTTTATTATCTGTATATACAGTGAAGTTAGGTGCATGATACAGATAATCTCTAAATTTTTCACATATTGCCCACTTAAGTGCTAGGAATTCCAATTTTCCTGAATGCATGTGATAATTTTTCTCAGGTGGGGTCAGTGTTCTAGATCCGTACCCAATGACAACCATTTTGTTATTCTGTCTCTGATACAGAACCGCTCCCAATCCTTCCTGGGAAGCATCCACATGCAGAATAAATGGTTGAGTGAGATCTGGGTACCCAAGGATGGGAGGCTCACTGAGTTTGTCAATAAGTGTGTTTATTGTCTCTTGATGGGTCTGTGTCCAGTGAATGGGAGTGTTTGATGGGAGGTTACCTTTATTTCTTGCAGTGTTGATGTTCCGCCTGTCTTTATGCTTTTCTGATGGCGGATTTTCAGGTTGATTTTCAGGTGAACTGACCAGAAGCTGGTAGAGGGGCTTAGCCATTCTGGAGAAGTTTGGTATGTATGTTCGATAATAGAGGAATCCCAGCATTTTTCTCAGATCTCCTACAGTTGTGGGGGTTCTCTCCTTCAAAGATTGAACTGGTGCTACCTCTGCTGGATCCATCGTGTAGCCCTCACCAGAGACAAGGCGCCCCAGGAATCTCACTTTTCTTTTAAACACCTCACACTTCTTTGGGCTCAGCTTCACTCCATGCTTCTGGTATCTTTGCAACACAGTTCTCATGTGGTTGAGATGATCCTCAAAACTCGGGCTGTGAACTAAATTGTCATCCAGATAGGGCTGGCATATCACATCCCTTAACCCAATCAGGCACTCCTCCATGCTTCTTTGAAACTCTGCTGGGGCAGCACTCAAACCGAAGGGGATTCTGATCCACTGGTACAGACCCCATGGTGTTATAAAAGCAGTTAAGGGCTGACTTTTCTCATCCAGAAACCCTTGATGATAAGCCTTCCCCTGATCTAATACAGAGAACCAGGAGCTGCCAGTTAGAGAATCCAGCATGTCTTGGATTCGGGGAATGGGGTGGCGGTCAGGGACAGTTTTTCTGTTTAATTCCCGGTAGTCACAGCACAGCCTCAGAGTCCCATCTTTCTTCCTTACACACACCACTGGTGATGCATATGGAGAACGTGACTGAGTTATCCAGCCTCTATTCAGCAGATCTTGAAGGTATTCTTTAACTTCCTGATGTAATGGCTTGGGAACTGACATATATGTTTTCTTCACTGGAGTGGTGTCATGCAGAGTGATGTGAAGTTTCAAAGAGGGAATTAAACCTATGTCATCTTCATCATAGGCGAATGCATGACACTCTTCTCTCAGTATCTGTCTCACAGTCTGTCTTTGGCTTTCCGTTAAGTGGCAGAGGTCAACTGGAGGATCCCACTGTGTTGGCTTCTGTTGTTCTGCTTTGCTGTTGGTGATCAGACACTGTGCTGCAGGTGGCTTTGCTCTGGGTGAAATGTCATCTTTCTGTTGTTCACCATCAGTGATGTTCAACTGTTGTGCACTTACAGTATACGCTGTCTTTACTGATTCTAAGTGACCCAGGACTGTACGCTGATGTAGAGTGACATCATACTTATTGGTGTTGGACATTGGGATTGAGACAAATCCTGAGCTTTCCTTAGGAACTGTTATGAGACCCTCCTCACCGATGCTGACACCTTCTGGCAGCACCGAGTCCTCCAAAGGAACAAAAAGAAGGTCCTCTCCTCTGAACTGAGCTCCAGGATTAACTCTCACATGGATGATGGTGATTTGTCCAGCTGTTAATTTGATTTGACTTCTTCCTGTATGCACAAGACCCACATCAACCTGACTATCTGATGTCTGAATTAGTTTGACAATTGTCTGTGCAGTTTGGAAAGTTACAGCAAAGGCTCCACACACATTTTGGATGACTTCAGATTTCCTGTGTTTAAGTGTGTTATCTCCTAGAACTTCCTCTATGACATTGTAGCCAATTATTGGCTGTTGTGCCACACTGGAATCACTTGACACAAGTACTGGTACCAACAGGGGTTCTGCTGAGAGTGAGTCTTTACCGAGTCTAAATTCCACTTCCACCCAGCCCAGAAAAGGAATTTGTGTCTGATTGGCTGCAAGCCCAATAAGTGTATCCACCTCCAGTAGTTCATTCAGAGGTCTCACTCGCTGGTGTGGTAAGTGTAATTGTCTCCATTCTTCATTAATGAGACATGCCTGGGCACCAGTGTCCCATAATGCTTCTACTGGAGTGGCATCCAGCCAACAATGAACAAGGCATCTCTTACCTATGAGGCTCAGAAGTTTCTGTCTGCTCCGTGGATTCATGTAGTGAGTTGTTGGGGTAGATGAAAGTCCAGTATGGGAGCCTGTTTTGTTCGTGGTGGGACTGAGTGTTTTGTGTGGGGCTACTGAGGGTCCCGGCCCAGCAGCCCTTTCTAGTTTCCCTGCTGTCCCCTGTTCTGACGGCAGCCTCTGGCGAGGTGTCCTCCTTGACCACACTTGTAACAGTGAGTACACATCTCCCCTGACTGTGCTTCTCGACAGGCTGGGCAACCTCTGGGTTTGCTGTAGCTGTGTGTGGTGGCTCTCTCTAGCTGATGTTTCTTAGTAACACCCACTGTTTTCAACACCAATTTCTTTAGTTCTAACATTTCAGCCTTTAGTCCTTCAATGAGTTTAGTTGTTCCTGCTTCCTGTTCTGTGTTCTGACTTTTCTTGGCCCCTCTCAGTACACCTTTGGTTATTATGGCGTCCCCTACCTCACCTCTGGTTACAACTTCTTCGATGTAAGTAGGTTGGAACTCATTTATGCATTCTTCAGCTCTGACTTCATTTATTTTTGGGAACCTACTCACTGTGCCTTTTCTCAGTTTTTTTTTTTGCCTTTCTTGTTCCAAGTTTGCAGCTTCACTCACCCGCTCAATTAGGACCTCATCTGATACTGCAGGATTAGTCAGGTACGGTTTTAGTTGGAATTTTACTGCATCACTTAGCAGTCCAGTGTCTATGGAGCGCAGAAATTTTCTTTGTATCAGTTCTGGACTGAATTGTTCGCTTTCATCCTCTTCTTTTGATTTCCAGAGCATTTTTTCTTTCAGTTCTATAGCTCTAAATAGAAAATTCTGTGCCGATTCTTTTGGATCTTGTGAAATGTTCATCAGCTGATGAAGGAGGTCAGAGGAAGAGTCAACTTTAAAATGACTTCTTAGAATAATTTTCAGAGTGGACAAGGTCAGTCCTGTTTTGATTTCCAGCATGTGTCTCAGGTGGAGCCCTGGGCTTATGGCCCGTATGACTGCTTCCAGGATCTCCGTCTCTGAATATCCTTTCCTCTGCCCAGATTCCATTTGGTTGATCAGGCTCGTATATGACAGTTTATCCCTCTGACCAGCTTCTCCAATCTGCCCACAAATCCGAAACTCCCGCCTGAGGGTCACTTCTGGTATTTGAGGTGATGGAGCACGGTGTGGTTCAGTCTCCTCCATATGCGCCGTCGTGCTCAGTTTTTTTTTTCTAAAACCCCAATTTCCTCCTCAATCCGCTGTCGGGCTTTGTTTTGTTCCTCTTGCAATTCCTTGTACTTGCCTTTTAGTAAATTTAATTCACCTTCGTTAGATTGAATCTGTTCTGGTGTTCTGGCACGTTCCAACGTCCAAGATTCCATGAAGGTGATTAAATTCTGGAGAAACTGTTGAAACGATTCCGGTTCTTCCTCATTCCCGATATCGTCCAGTGTCGACTCTGCTAGTCTGATGAGGGAACGCCGAGTTTGGCCAGTAAACCCTCCTGAAGGTTCATCACTCTTGAGGCGTTTACAAACTAAAATCAGTTCTGACTTCTCAAACGTCAGCAGCGTTCGGCTCACTTCGTCTTGAAGCTGCTCCATCGGTATTTCCTCCTCCGACTTCGGTTCGTCTCGTTTGGATTAGTTACTTTAAGTTGAAACTCCTCCTGGGTCTGGCTCGCCAAAAATGTAGCGGTGAAACAATCAGACGAGCTTCCGAGATTGATTCCGCAACATTTTAATTTAATATTTGGTACAAAGTAACTACGTGAGCGGTATCGCTACACAGCCGTTAGAAAAACAAGAGACAGCACACCGTCCGTCTCCTTGCAACGGCGGAGGGATATTCACCCCCCTCCGCAACCACGTCGAACAGTGACACAACTCGCAAATGCCACACAATAAAACCCAAAACAGTATTAATTTACAACTATTCCATGAAAATGCTTGTGCGCCACACACACACAAACATGACTGACAGTGCTGAGACCCGCCTCCTGGCTCTGAATGATTGTTTCTCTGGAAGAAAGCAGAGGAGCTTCATTTTTTTCATGCATTATCTGTCTCATATTCTCCTGTCACAATATAGTGACAGATATGTTTTTTAACAAAAAAAAAAAACAAACATTTTCATATGACCCAACTTTAATAACTCGTTATCACAGGTTAACTATTCTTAATATTAAATTAAAACTCGCTTGTTTAAGTTAGCTTGTGGTGTTGACCTCTGCTTTATATTTTGAAGGCAATAGAGTTTCACAAGACTTATGCAACAAATCCCTTTCATTTCAATCAAATATTTATAAACTAGCCAACAAACAAATAGAATCAATAAGTCAATACATGAAAGTCAATACATGAAATAAAATGAGCTATAACATTCAGACGTACTATGTCTCTTGGCGTGTTGTACAGCCTTGTAAGATCTGAGCATGGCAAATGGATGCTAGGACAGAGTGAGGGGGCATACAAAAAAACATTTTGTACGGCAGTACAAAATGTTTGACCCCTGTGGTTCAAAAGAAAAAATAAGGACTGAGGATATTTTTTTTTTTACTAAATAAAAAATAAAGCTTTCTAATTTTCTATTTTGTATAAATGTTTAAGTAACATCAGTGTGAATGTAAAAATGATCCAGAACATATTTTGTATCTTGGACTGATGGCTAGGGAACAAAACAGCTGACTTACATCTGTACAGAGCCAGGCTTTTCTCCACTGGCAGTCGGCTCTGAAACGCACACAGTCCTCTCAACATGAACAATGACCTTTTGCTGCTGCTTTGCAAACATTTATTTCTACTGTTTCTTTGCTGCCCACCAGCTTCACTGCACACTGCTGTGAATTCATGTTTCACAACTGATGGAATTTATTATAGACCGACCATGACAGATACAAAATTTATGTCAACAGTGACTGAAGGCAAACCTAAAAAGTTAGATCTTAATCATAAATCCTTATTCAGCACTGTACCAACAAAACAGTTTGTGAAAAGTCCCAAAGATCCAATTCAGTAAACTGTTTGGTTATATGGTTTAACATTTAATTCCTGATGCTTTGTTTCCTGTCACTGGTTTGATCCCTTACTGCTTATACACGAGTATGTTTGCAGCTTCTAGGCTATCAGATACAATGCAGTACAGTGACACATATATGCCTCTATGTGTCACTGTACTGCAATGAACCTTACTAAAGCAATAGGCATTCTCTCTAAGCAATTTTGGTCTTTCAGACTAAAATTCCCCTAAATGTATTTATATGTAACAGCTATGTACTAATACCAAGCTCACCTCAAAGGTCTTTAACCTATAATTTTCATGTATAAGCTGATCATCAGGCCCCACTTTGTCACAATCAGTAAGTAGAACAAAAGGGTCAATTAAATATTTTTAAGTCTGTAGAAGATTATTTAAATTTGCAAGCAGATGGTCACATCAATCACCCTGACGGGTCATTCTGTTAATGTGTCTTATAAGTTAATAAATCCTATACTTGTTTGATGGCAGTTCATTTGATGTTTACTCAAAGTAGCATGTAAGGTGCAAATATATTTTGGCTAAGAAAAACTTTTAATTATACAAACTTACTTACCATAAGATGAGAGAATCATTGCTTCTCGCCATATGCGATTTGGATGCTAAGGACTTCCTAAGCTACATATGGCTCCACTGTGGTGGGAAGGGAAGGAGATGTTGTGTTTAAAAACTCAAATATATTCAGAGGCGACTTTTGCCTGAATTCTCCTGTCCTCACCAATAACAGCCAATGATCACCATTTTAAAAATAGTAAAGTATTGTTTAATTAGTACAACATTTTATTTATTTTCCTTTCATTTTACTCCCTCAATAATAAATATGAATAGCTCATGTAATAACTAAAAAAAAAACATGGATGAAAGACGCAGAAATAAGTATGAACATACATCTCCCCTCATTCACATAAAAAGAAAATCAGCTCTTCAGCTCATAAGCCTATTCATTGCAAACATTAAGTCACTCATACTATCACTCATTCATATCACAAATGGTATATCAATCTGTTAGGCCACCAGCCTGTTTTCCCTGGCTGCTGGGGAAAAAAGCCAGGGAAAATAATTTTGAAGGAATCCCTGAATAGAAAAAAAAAACTATACAAGCTTCAACAGATCTAATATGTTAAGATTTATACTCACAACACAAGCTGATGGACCAAAAAGTGGAGCTGGGAGATCTTCACTTAGCATGCTCACACAGCAAATCCTAAACATGGTTGGCTTAACTGAGACTTTATTCTGTGCAGCTGAACATCACAGGGAGTATCGGGTTATCAGCTTCCACTCGATTATTTACAGCTGGCCTCCCATCAGGAGCAAACAGCTGATACATCCCCAATGACAATGATGTAAAAAATCTAAAGTCTTAACACCACAAATTTGAACAAATTCTGAACTAGCATTCTCTGTAGGAAACTAGAACACTGGATTTATCACAAGGAAAAAGTATTTGTGTTGTTGTCTGTCCACAGCCCACCCCACTGTTTTCTTCTACTCCTTCGTCTTCTTCGTCTCTTCCTCCTGCCTTTAAACACCGGAGAACTCAGAAATGTGGTGTCTGTGAAATCATCTCCACGCCTAATTTTCCTGTTGGGGGAGGGGAAGAAAACAGAAATTCAGCACTGTGTTCCATTTTCTCTCTCTCTTTTCTTTTTAAAGACAAACACAAGTCTGGATAATATGACCAATCATAACACTAGTTCTAGTAATGATAGGTTGGTTATAGCTAACTTATTGATACAAATAAAACCTAATTTCAGAAAACAAATTACAAAAATGTTCAAAATTCATCAAGTTAAAATTAATTAAACCAGGGTCAATTTAGCCAGATGATTTATCACTGCACTCTTAACTGGCACGGTTCAAAGCTCAGTTGTGAGAACGGTCCAGTCAAAGTCCTGACATGAAGCCAACTGGAATTTGCAGAGAGACCTGTCCAAAGAAGTATGTAGATCTGGGTTGAAGGGGCATTACAGAATATCTAGAATGTTTAACCAGACCTGTGGTCTGCTGAAGCAAAAGTCAGAAACATAGACGGAGCTTTGAGTAACCAGCGTCACTGTAGCACTGGTCACATAGCCTGCGTTGCTCTCTGAGTTCCTTTCAGTGGGACCTGACGTTCTCACCTGTTCAGTGGTGGCTCCTTATAGGAGACCACACAGTTCTTTCTCCTGCTTCTTCCTTTATTTTCACCATATGGGTTTGGAAATGTGTTGGTAACAGTTGTTAGAGTTCTTCCTGCTGCAATGCACAGCAAAGCATTAGCTGTCAGCTAAACCAAAGTCAGACAAGGTTAGATTTTGTGTTTACAGTATTCCCTTATTGGGGTGAGTCTACCCAGAGTTCACAGGTAAACTCTGATACCCAAAGAACATCTATTGACAGTGGAGGAGACACCCACCTGGTGAGGCTCTAGTTGACCCCTCAGTCACCACCAGCCTGCATGATGGGCTCCTTTTTGGAGAGTTGGGTGCAGAATTGGATTCTGGGTCCAGAGTGCTGAGCTCTGCAAGCAGCGATGGTGGATCCACATCCATTATCAGAAAGCTGACATCCTGATGATCCATCTCATCATTAACAACCGATGTCCTTGTGTTATTGCTTTTGTCCTGACATGTCGGTCTGTGGATGACAAATGTCTTCCTTAGGTTCTTGGTTTCGGCTGCTGTGTGCAGCTTTGTCTTCCTTTGTAGTTTTGAAGCATTCCTGCCTTTGGAGTCTTTAGGATCAGGTGGATTTTCACCAATGTCATAATGATCATGGCTGAGGAGCATCTGAAAATCCTCTTTACCTTCCTTCCTGACCTTCAGACTGTAAGGGCTGCAGACAAGAAGCTCATCACGGCAGATGGGATGCAGACCAGATTCATCTTCAGATAAAACCTTTTTACTGCTTTTCCTTGTTTTTCTCTTTCGCCTGGAGTCGTAACCATCAGCATATTTCCCCAGTGACGATATCATCCTGTTCCTGGAACCTCCTGCTTCGTCTCGTCTGGATTTTTTAGATGTTGGGTTCTCTGAACGGTCACATTCATCTGCTGGCAGGACTTCCATGTTATGCTTTGATGTTTCCACCAGAGGGCGCTTTGAAGTGCTGTTGGTCTCTGTTTGCTGATTTGCCTGGAAATATCCAGAACTCTGAGACAGATCGTCTAGCAGCTCCTCAGCTGGGCAGTGGGGCTCTCCAGGAAGCATCATGTCACAATCCAGACCCAGCGAGTTACTGTTCCTAGAAAGAGAGATGACAAAAGTTTCTCTGCATCTCGGCCTGTTCTGCGTTTTCCTCCTGGCTGCAGGAGGCTGATTCTCCTCTGACCCGAGACCTGCCTCCTCCACTGGATGGAATATGTATTCATATGGTGGAGGTGGCTCTGTTTTTTCTGCTTCCTCTTCATCATGGACCTTCTCCGGTTTGGACTGTTGGCTCTCGTCATCATGAGGCAGACGGACTGACGAGGTCTTTTGAATGACCATAGAGCGCCTCCTTACTTTAGTTCTCGAACGTCTGTAGGTGATTTTAGAACTTGGTGAACCTTCTTCAGGTTCACTGCCCCCAGCCTTCAACAAGGTAACTTTAGAATTGGAAAAATAATTATTTAAATCTTGTGAGACAGTGTCACAGCTGTCAGTATCGCTCTTGGATGTCTTCTGGTGACTGGCAAGCTTGGGGATGCGAGATGCTTTCATATTGTTGCCGCGTTTTTTCGGTAACTGTACCTCAAGAACTCTTGAGTCTTTATCTTCTGGTTTATTTTTCTGAGTAGAAATTTTCACAGGTTCCTTATTTGGTCTGTGGTTGAAACCATTCTGGACATCTGGACTGGAACCCACCTGTTGACTCTCTGTGCCTTTTGTCTCACAGGAAGGACCTTTCTTCTTGGCTTTGGTTTCCACGGTGACAATTTCAACTGCGTTACTCAATGTAATCTCCATTGACGTATTGAGAAGCACTGTATTGTCAGTTCTTGCTAACTGAGACTCAACTTCTGAGGCTGACACACTTGGAGCGTTTACGTCACTAGAAAGGGATGTTGTGGAGTTTCCATGCGTTTGATTGTGCTGAGGACAGAGGACAGAGTTTATTTGAGAGCTGGACTGGGACAGGCGCTCCACTTCACTCCTGTCTGAGAGTGAAGTCTGAGTGGGTTGAACACGTTGACTGAAACGCCTTTCCTCTGCGTTTTCTGGGAAAAGACATTCATTTATAGTGAGGCAGTACATATTTGAAACACTGCACTGAATGATGCCAAATTACCCACCATGAAAAATATCAGAGGAGTTGCTGCATCTGGTTAGGGCACTTAAAACATCCAGATGAGGGTTTCCTTTGAGCAGACCTGGTGTAGCTTCTATGTTTTTGTTGTGACAGAAAAGATTCCTTAACATTTCAGGCCTCCTGTGTATAAGATAGAAATACAGAAAAATATAACTGTCAGATATCATTTACGTCCACTGAAACTACAACACCTACAAAGGACACAACAAAAGCAAACGCAGGAACTTCTGACCGCGCTGCTGCATCGTTCTCTTTGTTTTTATCTGTTGGGTAGTGGCAGCCCTCTGACAGTCTTGGAGAATCCTGAGGGAAAACACATTTTCAGCTTCAGCAGTTCAACCTATTGGTCTTCATTGAGGTTTTGTAGATTAGAAGTCAAGCTTTGGGTTCCACTGCAGGGGAAATAAATAGACTCCTCATTGGCATTCTTCCTTATATGGTACTGAATACATTGAGACCAAACATTTCAAGTCATACAGTTTAAAAGATAATTATCTTCAAAAATAAATTTCTTCAAAACTTCTGTTTTTGAAGAAAGTTACAAAAAAAAAAAAATCTTGGGAAAAAAATAAAAAAAAGTCAAACGCGGAAGTTAAATTTCTGTCTGTATTCGGTGTATGTAAAGTTGTTGTTTTCAACAATAGTGAAAAATGACAGGGATTTTTTTGTGCTTTTCCACACATTTTTTTTTCTGAGTAGTTATAGACTATAAAATTTGTTCATTTTGACTTCAAAAAACTTAAAAACGTTTTACTTTTTTTTTTACTATGACTAGAAAATAACAGAGGAAAAAGCGTAGTCGGGTGAAATGTGGACGATTAGCCTCCAGACACAGGCCAATCCATTCTGAGCATTTGGAAGCAACTTCAAGTTCCTGAGATCTACCTATGGACTTTGAGATGTATTTAGTCAGTGCCTCTCCTCAATGTAAGTCGAGGAAAATAATCTGAATTATTTCACCTCCACTTACATTGAGGTGAACAGACAATTGTGGAGTAAGTGTCAGTAAAAGAAAAGAAGATCTGAGTCTGGGAATTGGAATAAATCATAATAGTCACAACTTCAGTGTAAAAAAAACAAACAACCTTGCATGTCATATACATCATGACGCAGTCAAAATCAGAGGATGTAAATTTGATTAAAGTCACATTTAAGCAAGAAAAACATAATCTTGTGGTAAAAAAATATAATCTGATTGGTGACTCGTCTCTTACGTCATCAGAAACTAGTTCTGCCATCATGTCCAGCTGCTGTAGAGTGTTATTATGGAGATTTTTCAAGATGAGCATCTGTAGGAGCAGAACAATAACAAGTAGTGAACCAGATAATGGTCAAACTAAACTCCACATCAGCTGATATATCACACTCACCAGTTTCCTTTGGTTGTGTTTCTTGGTAGCCAGCTGGAAGCAGAGATCTTTGACCTGTTTTTGCAGGAGCACCACCTCCATCTCAAGCTGCCTGCTCTTCTCCTTTTGGGCCTGCAGAGCGAGAGCCAGGGCCTTGTTGTTGGTCTTCAGGGAGACCTTGAAGAAGGAGGAGGTGTCTGGTGTGAAAGAAATACGGTGTTATCACTACTCAAAATCTGTGACAGCCGCAACACAAATGAGATGGAGACTAACCCAATTCAATTTCAATTTATTGATCGCAAAAATAAATTAAATAATTAAACCTACTGATAATTTTGTTTTTGATCTTTGAAGCCACAGCTGACGTCTGCTTCGATGGTGTCATCGTTTTCCTGGGAGGCATCTTCAGACTGATGGATTAAAAAAACAAAAAAAAAAAGGAAGGCAGAGGCTTTAGCTTATTTAGCAGTAGTGAAACAAAAAGATACAAGACATGTTAAAACCATCAGACTCTAATGTTTCTTTTCTCATCTCTCCATTTAGCATTTAATATTCAGCATTAAAGGCTTTTTTATGCACATTTTGAAGTATCGCGTTAAAACAACTGTCAAAGACACACCCAGAAGCACGAATAGCAACGTTTTAACCAGGAAAGGTCCCATTTCACCCTAAATTAACACTCCACCATGGCTTGTCATTAATTAGCCAGCTGGTGGTTTCTGTCCTAACTTTGTCCAGCCTTACCGTCGATGAAAGTCCTCGAGTTGCAGCGCTTATCTTCTAAAAAATGAAAATCTTAGAAGGGAACGACACAAACTACTGTATTCAAGAATGTATCAGCTTTGCAAGCCTGTAATTGAAGACTGACAACTTTTTTCAAAAACAAACAAAAAATCCGCCAAACTTCCGAACATGCGCATTAACTAACTGACGTGAACTTCGCCATTATCTTTTTTTTTTTTTTTTTTTTTTTTTCTTTTTTTTTTTTTTTTAAACTCTTTATTACTATTATCAACATATACATTAAACATGTAATCGGCTTCAAATGTACATAAAATCTGAAAAACATGATGAAGCCGATCTCAGCTGCATCCATACAGACAAAAAGGAGGAACAAAAATAACAAGACAAAACAAAAAGACATACATTAGGGGTTTTCCAGCAATTTCATGATGATTATCATATCATATAGTTCTGTATCTTGACCTTTGTTCATGAAATTCAGCGATAAGAAGAGGTGGCAGAGATCCTTATGAAAAAAGGGGAAAGACGGTTTGGTTTTAAGGAAACGACATTTGTGTATGAAAAACTTGCCCATAATAATTATGACATTTAACAGAGTTTCAAATTTCTTTTCTTTTCTCATAGTCCCAAAGATAATATCATTCTTGGAAAAGTCCGGTAAGTTCGGGATTTTAGGAAAAAGCCAGTAGTGAATATCATCCCACAAAGCTTTGCAATACACACAATCATAGAAAAGATGTTCAGTCGACTCAATATCACCATTACAAAATAAACAAGTGTTATCATCAATAGCAAATCGAAGTCTAAGGAATTCCTTAGAAGGGTAAACGCCTGAAAAGATTTTGAAGTGGACTTCCTTGGCTTTTGGAGGAATGGGAAGCTTTAAATAATTTGTTCTAATTTTTTCTTTCTGATCTTTTGAAAAGAAATGCGATATAAAATTTGGATTGGATATAAACGGAAATAGAGAACTAATAAAGCATTCCCGAAGTTTTTTGTTTTTCAAATTCTTATCTGTGATATTGAGCCCATTAATCAATAGACCAGGAAGCTCAGCGGTTCTGCAATCAGGGATCTCATACAAACATTTAGCTGTAGATAAAATATTTGGGGGAATAGCTTTAATAATCTTTTGAAATACACTTTTATTTATTTGTAGGTTATATTTACCACTGAATTCTTCAAGAGACATAACCTTCCCATTATTTAATAAATGCATGACAGACCAAACACCTTGTTCTAGCCAATTATTTATAAAGATTGATTTATTATTAATTTTTACGTAACGGCAATTCCACAAAGGAGTATTGTGTGGGCTATAGTTATGTTTATAGATTAACTTCCAATATAATAAAACTTGCTGGTGAAAGAAGGAAAGTTTAACAGGTAGTTTTTTAACGTCAAAGTCACATCTAAGAAGAAAACTAACTCCACCCACATTTGAAAATATTTTACTCGGAATATGGAACCATAAAGCCCTTTGGTTTGTTAGGAAAGACCGAAGCCAATTCATTTTTAAAGTACCGTTCATGCTGTCAAATTCAATAGCTTGCAGTCCTCCATCTTCAAACCTTTTGATTAAATTACCTTTCCTGATATAGTGAGTTTTCTGTTTCCATATAAAATCAAAATTCATCCTATTGATGGATTTGATAGCTGAAGTGGGTATTCCTAATGTATATGCAGGATATATCAGTCTGGAGATACTTTCTATTTTGGTGAGAGCTATTCTTCCCAGAATAGATAAATCTCTGTGTGTCCACTTATTTAAATGAGTTTTACAATTTTGAATTTTTTCCCAGATATTTAGGTTTTCTAAATCAGATTTATTTTTATTTATATGCACACCCAAATATTTGACACTGGATTTTACAGGAATATTAAAAGCAGTCGATAGAGAGCAGTCTTTTAGAGGCAAAATTTCACATTTGTTTAAATTTAATTTAAGACCTGAAGCATTTGAGAAGGAATCAATCAATTTAAGAATTTTTGGAATTTCATTCAGATTATTAAAGAAAATGGTTGTGTCATCAGCGAGTTGACTAATAGAAAACTCCTTACCCATTACAGCTAATTTACCAAATTGAGCATTTTTAATTGATATGGAAAGCATTTCTGCAGCAGCAATAAACAGCAATGGAGAGATTGGACAACCTTGCTTTATACCTTTGTTGATGCTAAATCTGTGTGAGGTACCATGTGGAAGACACACTGAACTATTGGTATCTTTGTAAAATGTCCTAATTACGTTAATAAATTTATCACAAATCCAAACAAAGCTAAAGCTTTGAACATAAATTCATGTTCTATCATATCAAAGGCTTTATAAAAGTCTAAAAATAATACAAAGCCTTCATTTTCTACTAAGTGATTATAGTCAATTAAGTCCAAAATAAGACGAATGTTATTATGTATAGAGCGCCCTTTTATAAAACCAGATTGAGTGTCAGAAATAATCTGGGATATGCCTGATTTTAATCTGTTGGCAAAAATGTGTGTCAGAAGCTTGTAATCATTATTTAATAATGTTATCGGCCTTAAATGATCAAGGATAGTTGGATCTTTCCCGGGTTTAGGAATGAGTGTGATGACACCTTGTTTCATAGTGTGAGTTAAACAATTATTTTCTAATAGTTCTGTAATCATTCCAAACACAAGTGTTCTGATTTGGACCCAAAAGTGTTTATAAAAGTTACTTGTCAAGCCGTCGCAGCCTGGAGCTTTGTCCTTGGATAAAGCGCCCAAGGCTTTATCCAATTCCTCTATAGTGATATCTGCCTCACATATTTGCTTATAATTGTCATCAATTTTAGGAATCAAATGTCGAACAGAGTTAAAGAATATTTCTGTCATTGAGTTATTATATTCAGAAGAATATAAATTGCTATAGAAGCTAAAAATTTCCTTGGATATTAATTTTGAGTCAGTGCATGGTTTATTATTAATTTGCAAGCAATTCACTGCATTTCTCTCCTGTTTTTTTTTCTAATCTACAGAAATATGCAGTACTTTTTCACCATCCTCAATCCACTTCGCTCGGGACCTTTAAGTAAGCTCCTTTGGCTTTTTTAGTATAAAAATCATCTAATTCAGTCTGCAGAATTTTTTTGCGCTGTTTGTCCTCATTATTAAAAAACGGTTTAGAACAGATGTGACTAAGTTCTTGAATGATTTTTAATTCCTTTTCCTTATTTTGGATAGCTATCAATTTGCTGTGTTTAATTGAGATTTCACGACTTTTTAAATTTAAAATTCCCATTTCTTTGTATAAGAACTCAGATTTGTATCATTGCAAATTAAATTGAGAAGCTCCAGGATTTCATTATTAAATTTTTCATTGTTAAGGAGGGTTGAGTTGAACTTCCAGTAACCTTTGTTGTGGGATGTTTTCAGTTGAGTTGTGATACTGAGTTGTATTACACAGTGATCAGACAAAGGTGCAGGTGAAATTCTAGCATTTACATTATTTTGCATCAGACTGTTTGAAATTAGCCAGAAATCAATACGTGATTTAGCTGAGCCATCAGGTCTGAACCAGGAGAAAGACTGACTGCTCTGATTTGCTTCTCTCCAAGGATCCACCAAATTCAGAGATAAACAAAAATTTTGTAAAACCACATTTATATGATGAGATTGGAATTTAGAGGGAGATCTATCAAGCCATTCATTGTACACCATATTAAAATCTCCACCCAATATGAGATTGTTCGTGGGATATTTCTGAGATAGTTCTTTTAGTTGACTAGTTAGTTCAGACAATAAGGATTTGTTCTGAGCAACACTGTTGTAACCATAGACGTTACAGAGAATCAGAAAACTAGTTTCCATTTTGAGTACACACATAATCCAGTGGCCCTGTTTGTCTTTCCTATGAGTTTCTAGTTTTTTCTGAAAATTTTGAAATAGTAAAGCAACACCAGCAGATTTATTAGTACCATGAGATAAAATTATTTTTCCCCCCATTGATTTGACCAGAAGTTCTCATCTGCCTTAATAGAGTGAGTTTCTTGTAAAAATATGCAGTTAGCATTTGTATTTTGTATTTGTATTATCTTTTTCTTGTTGCTGCCATTATTGTTGCACTACTATCATCGCTTAGATTTTAATATTTATTTTCCCTCTACCTCTCCAATGAGACCATTTTTAATTCAATATTTTTCTTTTTCCTTCTTTACTATTTAACTGAGCAATCACATTATTACCACATTATTTCCTATTCAAACTTTTTACCCCCTGACTTTAGTTTAAATTCTTATTTTGAAACTATTTATTTTTAGTAATATTTCTGATAAATTACTGAATATTTTTAGGAGTGAAATGAGTAGTGCACCATTTTAGGGTTCACGTAATGGCTCTGAATGCAGCTGAAGCTGTCTGTTCTCAGGCTATAGTCTGTTGACGCTCGGTGCTTGATTAGTCAGGGCTGGGCTTGCTGCTTGTTGTTTTAAGGGAGTCGGCTTCTTCTTCCAAATGTTTGACAGCTGCAGCCACTTCAGGAATTGGAGTACTCCTCTGCTCTCAGTTATGTCAGCTTCATAAAGTTAATAGGTAACCTGCTTGTTTTACATTTTGCTTTTACTCTTCACTGACCAACGCAGATGCAGATTCCCGACTAGTTAGCACTCGAAGCTAACCACATACAGCCTGATAGGCATCAGCGGCTGCTAACATTAGCCAACCCTCAGCTTAGATTAATAAGCTTTCTTGGCTGCTTCTGCGAATTATAAGCCTCTAAGTCATAACATTATCTTTAAGTTGTCAATAAAAGCAACCCATTATGAAAGTCTGACACTTTCGTTTACTCGTACAAATCTAATTGAATCTGCCCCGTTTCGCTTTAGTGTCTCTGTTAAAAACCAGCGTGTGAGGGGTTTTCTGTCAGCTCCCCTGGTGACTCAGAGACCGTTCGAGCCGGGTCAGGGCGGTGCTTTCTCTTTTCCGGGTCTGGGACTTTGCTATAAAGCTTCGGTCTGTTTAGATCACATGATAAGGTGAGCGGAGTGTGATGCCTTTTACATCGGCTTTCTCTGCACTGTAATCCAAGATGGCATGCATTTCCAACTCCAGCTCTATTGCCTTTTTCAGAAGGTAAGCGCTGCAGAATCTCCAGGACACGCGTTTCCTTTTTGTTTCAGTCGAGCACACAGGGAGCAGGGGCATGAGAGTCTCAATTAACTGTCAGCCGACCGCTATTGAAGAGGGCCACCATGGACCTGGGGCATCTCTGTTGGTAAGTACTTGAGGCTCATAATCCGACTGATGAAGAAGGTCTAAGAGAGTGGGAATATCATTACCAAGTATAACTGAATATGGCAAAGAGGGAACTACAGCTACTTGTACCAGGTATGTTTGACCTCCCACTGTCAAATACACCTCTGCACTAGGGTAGACATGCTCATCTCCATGTATACAGCTTATTTTAACCCCCACCTCACTTAACTTTTCATCTGGGATTAAGCTTGCATGTACTAAAGACTGAAAACACCCAGAATCAAGCAATGCTTCTTCTTTCTTCCCATTAACTAGCACAGAAGCCGTACAAGCTTTTCTTTTTTCAACATCAGTAGCCGCTCTTGGAATTGAACACATCAGTGATGGCTTTGATTTTAGGGCGGGACAAAATGTTGCGTATGGCCAAAACCATTACAGTTGTAACATCTAATATCCTGACCTGACGACTTATGAAATGACTTTTTAACCTTAGCAGGTCGATGGGAAGGGAACTGCTTAAAACTAGAACCATTTCTAGCCTGACTTAGACCAGAGCCCTGTTCACCCCCAGTGGACTTACTTGGTTGGGCATAATGAGTCTCTTGGCCAGCATAGGTGCTCCAGCTCCCCCTCCTGGCTGATCTGAAGACCTCTGCGAGAGTAGCTGCTTCTTCTGCCGTCTTCGGGTCACGCTCACGTATCCAGACCTCCAATTCTGGATTAACCATCCTTAAAAACTGCTCCAGAATTATCTGCTCAGATATTTCTTGCACAGTAGATTTATCAGGTTTGATCCATCTTGAAAACAAGTCTTTCAGTCGAACATAAAGTTCATGCGGCGTCTCACCTGATTCAATCTTTAGGCATCTGAAGCGTCGTCGATAAGTATCAGCAGTAATTTCATATTTTGCCAGAATTGCCTCTTTCAGTTTATCATAGTTCTGAGAGTCAGCAATATCCATTAGAACATAGGCTGTGCGGGCCTTTCCAGTCAACAGAGGGACCAGACGAATCGCCCACTCATCTCTGGACCAACGACACACCTGGGCCATCCTCTCGAACGTCGTCAGAAAATGCTCAATGTCGTCATCCGTCGATAAGGGAAGAAATTTTGGTTCAATTATGGACCTGGAACCATGAGCCACCTGAATATCACCACCATCTGATTCTTCTGCAGGTGCTTCAGATGTTGAAGGTTGATCCTGTGTGTCTGACTCATCCTGTTTTTCCAGTACCGCATTCACTTGCAGCTGCATTTGTTGAAACTGATGCTGATACTTTTCCACCTCTGCTCCTGGCGGGAAAAATCTTTATCCATCTTCATGTCTCTAGCCACCTGAGACCGCATGATGGATTTCACCAACACCGCCAGTTCCTCCAACTTATCTTCAGGGTTGGTCGCTGCCATGGTTTTCATTTCAGAGGAAGCTCCAGCTGCTTCATCAGGCTCTCCCTCTTGGCCTGGCTTTTTACCACCTCTGGTCATCATCTTTGCACTGTGGCATGAATAGACGCACTTCTGACACCACTTGTAACAGGTTGGCCTTTTACGGCTGGATTTTTCAGTACAGATTGATGATATCAGGCAGAGTTTAGGTGGAACAGCAGGTTTATTCCTCCCAGCATCACAAACAATGTCACACTCTTGGTCTTACAAACATCTCAATGTCTCAATATCTGTCTCACAGGTGAAAATTGCAATCTTAAATAGTCCCAGCTGTGACAGTTAAAACAATCTGAAAATTCATAAGATAATCCCAATTAATGAGCCTCTGGGACATAATTGCCCAGCAGACAAGATAAAGGCTAATATAAAAACTACATATTTACCAAGAAAAGAGAGGATTTACACCACATGTGCACTTCTACCACTGAACAACTTTTGTATACACTGTAGTCTATCTTTGTCAGCGCAACTAAAGATGCTAAGTTCTCATGGTCAGTGTGCTATATATATTTGCATTTACAAGACCAGCATATATGCTTAACACGAAAGAGTCAGCTGCACCATTAGGATCCATCCAAAATAGAACAAGGGATAAGCTTTCCTGTCTTATCCACGAGAAGTACATAATAGGACTCAGTCTTACACATATTGATCTGTTATCCAGCTCATTAGCATGCAGTAATTGGGACCGGGCATAAAAAAAGTTATGATGCATAGATTTGAAATAAACATCCAGCCAGGGCAATAACAAAATGGTTTAGATAAAGGCATTTCCAGGAGAAAAGATGTCAAAGTTGCAGTCAGGATGACCTTAAGTTAATTTGGAAAGAAGAAGGAGCAATAAAACTCTAGATGTGCAAAGCAAGTGGAGTGCCAAAATGCATGTGGGTATAAAGGGTATATAAATTGTCTGTATAAATATCTGCAGAGTGGAAAACTAAGTGTAGTTCATTTTTTGTGTGAACAATCTTGACCAATAAAGCTGATTCTGATGAACAGCAACTGACAGAAAAAAAGCAATCACATATTGATCACAATCGCAGAAGAAGTGATCACAACATCATCGCCACCTATAAATTAGTGTCTGCATTAAGCCAACATAGGGATTCTTCACCCATATCTCCTGAAAACAACTAAAGTCAGTCTATTTCTTATCCCAAGGTGACCATTTTCTGACAAACGCCTCACGTTACAAGGTGCATCTGCAAGGATCAGGTGACAGATTGCACCAATTGGTGCGCATGCATCCAGTTAAAGCAGCCAGTGTGCATTTCAGTTACCTGGCAACCTCTTTGAGAAAGTTGTAACTAGAGTCAGGCATGGGAAATTTACAGTAGCAGCTGGCAAAATAACCACACATATGAAACGTCATCACTGGCAGCAGTTTCTCATCATATCCAAATCTCCCTGAAATGATGGGTTGATTTTTGCCCCATACACTATCTCATTTTCTATAGTTGCCTTGTATGACAGTAGAGACAGAGAGAGATGTTTTCTTCTTACCACCAACACTGAAGTTCTGACAGCCTCACTGACGCTCTGCCTGAGCTCCGCCGCGGTCCCAGGCTTATTGAGCCCCCTGGTAAACTTCCTCGGCTCAGGTGGACCAGAATCCATCGCGCAGTTCACCTTTCATCTGGCAGGAGCAGAGCAATACCGAGGTGAGAGTGGGAACGCCTATCTGATAGGTTTTACAATGCCGTTGTACCTGAAGTAAACTCATCGCCAACGCTGCGGCTCCCGGACAACTCCGCTAAGTGTCACGCCCATTTCTGTGTATTGGTATCCAATTGGACAGCAGCGAAAACCAAAGGCGCCCATCATGTCTCCAGCCAACACCCTATGACTTCTTTTCGGAGTTTTTTTTTTTTTTTTAATTCAGCTTCCTTAACATCCGTCTTTAATTTGCGTTTCAGTTGCTTATGTTTTAATTTCTGATGCGACACAAGAAGCTGTCATGGGTGTAAAAGGTTGGAATGCGCTCAGTTACGCGTTGATCTCAAGATACCGCAATCCGATGTCGCCACCTGCTGGAACAGGAATGTAACTACCATAGATATAGAGGGGACAAATAGGTCTGTCATATTCTGAGTGGAAACCACTATGAGTATTTTTTGGAAAAATTAAAATATAAATGAGATAATTAAATAATAAGAACTCAGCCGGGTATTTCACTTGTTAATTATTATTATTGTTTTAATAATATGATATTATTTTTAAAAATTACCTGATAATTCCAGCTTTTTTGGACTTTATTATCAAGAAATATTGCAAAGACAGAGGAAAAATTGATTGATGAATTACAACAGCAGCAATTTCCTTACGAATGATGCAAAGTGACGATGGTGCACAAACAAAATAAGTTAATACAACACAAGACAGTCACGTTTCTTGTATTTACAGTTACACGATTGGATAAAGAACCGTTTACTTAATTGCCAACAATAATAAAACTACTAATTTTTCTTGTGTTGATTTAACGTGATTAAATTGGACTACTAAAACCACCGCGATCACATTTTATCACCACCGGAAATTATGCGATTTATCGAAAGGCAACACTTAAATATGATTGGACAAGGTCTTTTGAATCTCAACCAATAAGAAGCTAATGGAATGGTTCTACCGCGGCAGGGCCATCCAGGTGAAGGGAAGCCATCCTGGTCTTCAGCGAGGCCCGCAGCTCCAGCTGTGAAGAGCTGGAGGTCTCGGGAAAGACCTCCAGCTCTTCCTCGAAGAAGCAGAGGAGGGGGGAGATGAGCAGGAGGAGAATGGAGAAGCTGCCTTACTCCCTGGAAGCCACGTAGATCTGGACCTCATCTGCGGTTTCCAGGCTGAACCTCTAGCCCAGGGGCTGTGAGGTCACCGCCCCGGGCCAGGAGCATCCGCTTCTCATCTGCACCTCAGCATAATGCTGCCGCAGAATGGTGATGGTGTTGTAGGCCCAGTATTAGGGGCTCGGATGGGCAGGCTTGATAGCAGAAGCCAGATTAGATGTGATCCGCTGAATAGCCAGTGGATCACGGTCATCCCGCGACACATTTTTAAGATTGTGTGTCGCCTCCAGCAGTCTGTGCAGGCCTCTGACCTTCTCCGCAAAGTGTGGGTCATCTGACTGCTGGTGATTGTTGAGGCTGGACGGTTGGAGGAGACCAGTCTGACTCCGACATGAAAGGTAAGTCATTATTATTGTCATTATCAACAACATCTTTATAATAGATGGCCAATTTGATTCTGATGTGGCATTTTTGAAAGTTAACCCCTTGTTTAAAAGGGAACACTGTGCATCACTGAGAGTGAAAGTTTTAGAAAGATTACACACATTTTTATTTACAATATCAGAGTGCCCCACCTTCCTACACTGGCTAGCGGGGCCATCTATTTTAGCCACTATGTCCAGTAGCTGAGCAAACCACAGCGGTGGCCTTGGACCAGTAGATGTTGTCCCAGGAACCCGGAAAGCCTGTCTCTGCAACGTCGGGATGAAGCGGCTGAGCTGCGCAATGTGGATGTTCATGTGAGTTAGGGTCACCTGTTCACAGAGGGGGAGTGCCAGCGAGAAATTTGAATGCAACTTTTGGAGCAACTTTGCATTAAAAGGGTCATTATTTACTGAATGTCATTTCATAACAACATTCGCAGAAATTCACAAAGACTGCCTTTATGTTCATGACAGACGTTCCGTCAAGTTTATGATGGTGTCATGTCAGTCTTGTTCACATCTGTCTCATGTTTTACTGTTTGCTATGTAATAACATAGTAACAGTCTAAACAAATATATATTTTAAATTCTAAAGGGAAAATACTGCAGCTTACAGGTTGACCTTTAACATATTTCTAGAAAAGATAAAAATGATTTAGAAAAGTGTAACATTTTTATTAACATTTTTTAACATGCACATGCTGCCGAATACAACTTTTATAACAAATTTCTTTTACATATTATGTCATGTCAGTTTTATGCGCACCCCATCAAGTAAAGTGTCACTGAAATCTGACACATTTCTACATAATCTTGTATATCTTTCAAAGAAACATGTTCCAGATTCACCTTTAAAGCTGCAGAACCTTATAAAAATTAGATTCCTTAAAAATATTTGTTTAAGCTTTCCTTTGTCATTACAGAAAAGCAAGAGACTTATAATCTGTGGGAAAATATTCCAGCTGTCTTCCACTGACATGATATTATGATAGTGTTGACAAATATGTAAAAAAAAAATATATTTATATATATTGCTATAAAACTTATATTCTGCAGTTTTAATGTCATGACAGATGTACACAATAAAATCAAGTAAATTGAACAACTTTTTTCTTTCAGTGTGTTACTGCACAGACACAAAGTCAATCACGACTGATATCTCTAGACATTTTGTTGATGTTCTCAGGTTTGTAGAGAAAAATACAACAAAATTATTTTGTATCGAATGTCTAATTTTATTAAGCTTCTTGCTGTTAATCATAAGTTATCAATGAAAAGCCTGACTTACTGCAGGTAGTTACAGGTAGTTCTTTAAAGCCTACTTCCACAGTGGTTGGCTCACCCAAAGCACGATAGGTCAGCATCCTCGGACGGCGGCGCTCTCTCTTTGGATAGCTCGATGTAGGCGGTGAGACAGCTGGATCATCTTCTTCCTCAGAAACCGTTTCCACAGATAGCTCAGGAGGATCCTGGTGCAGCTCCACGTCTTGGCTTCCATCTTCTGGTATGTTGTCCATCCATGCAGCCTGCGGTTCTTTCACTTTTGGTGCATTGTCTTGATCATGTAGGTCTGGTGTAAATGGTTCAGCATCTGGGTTTAAGCTGACAGCTCGGTGACCACTGTGCTGAGCAGGAGGAAACTGGCATACTAGCTCCATTTCCTCATCCCTCTCACTGTCTGAAGTTTCTTCTTGTGGACAAAGATGACATGACAATGTACTCGACTTAGTCTTTTTAGTCCTTTTTGAGCTTATTTCTGGGTTGTCGATTGGGAGACTGTCACAGGGGAGCAGGAGGTTCCTATGCAGCACACGACTTTTACCACCTCCTTCTGGTACTACTTCATACACTGGACTGATATCACTTCTCCTCTTTGTGATGATGTGTACTTTATCTTCCCAAAAGGATCTGAGCTTACCAGGGCCTCCTCTCTCTGATAAGTTGCGTACAAGCACACGCCCCCCAGGCTGCAGGTCAGCTCCATAAACTCTTTTGTCATATCCTTTTTTCCCTCTGTTTGATACACAGGTAGCATATTTGGTTGCGATCTCGTAAGCCTGCTGCATCCTGCTTTGCCAATCTTTGACATACTCAGCATAGTTTTGTTGTGTTTCGTTTGGCTGTATGTTAAACAGGAGATCTATTGGCAGTCGTGGAGATCGTCCATAGAGCAAATAATATGGAGAAAAGCCTGTGGAATCACTGCGAGTGCAGTTATATGCATGCACCATCTTGCATAAGGACTTTTTCCAGTCAGCCTTTTGCGCACTTGTGAGTGTTCGGAGCATAGACAGCAGCGTTCGATTAAATCGCTCCACCTGTCCGTTCCCTTGTGGGTGGTAGCAGGTTGTGTGGGACCCTCGCACGTGACAACACCTCTGCAGTTGAGCCATCAGCTGGTTTTCAAATTCCTTCCCCATGTCGTGGTGGATTTTCTCTGGGAAGCCAAAGCGAAGGGCAAAGTCATCAAATAGTTTTTCCACTACTGTTTTTGCGGATTTGTTTTTTGTGGGGTAGGCCTGTGCAAAGCGAGTGTAGTGGTCCATTATAACCAAAATATACTCAAAACCTTGCTTGCAGGCCTCTAGATGCAGAAAATCGACTGACACTAGTTCGAAAGGACGTGTTGTCACAATGGGCATCAGTGGTGCTCTGGCTGCTCTCTGTGGTCGTTTTGACTTTAGACACTCACACACTTGGGTCACAAAATGTTCTGTGTCCTGCTGCATTCTGACCCAGTAAAACCTGTCTCGAATCAGATTCAGAGTCCTTTCGACCCCCAGATGACCCATCTCCTTGTGTAATTCTTGAAACACTAACGGATGGTGTTCTTTTGGCAAAACTAGCTGAGACTTATTTCTTGCTTTTCTGTATAAGATCCCATCATTGCTGATATACAGTTTTCGCCACTGCCTCAAAAGCACCCTGACGTCTGCAGGCTCAGTTTTCACCACTTCCCTGGGGGGGAATTGATCTTGGCTTTTATAGTACATGACTCGCTTGATGAGATTGTCGTTCTTTTGACTTTCTCTGATCTGTTCTGGTGTTAGTGGGGCAGCCAATGAGGATGAAGATGCATCACTTACTAAATCCAGTGTTTTGATGTAAGCCGTGGTTAACCAGACAGATGGGGCATCTTGAAGCACAGTTACTCCCTGAATTGAAGCACTGATCACATCCTGAGTCACTTCCTTTGTGCATTGCTGCAATAAGTCATTTATGTCCAGTGGCATGCGAGAGAGGCCATCTGCGTCTGCATTGTGTTTGCCTGGTCGATATTTAATGGTGAAATTGAAATCTGCAAGTTAGGCAACCCACCTGTGACCTGTAGTGTTTAATTTGGCTGTGGTGAGAATGTAGGTCAGGGGGTTATTATCTGTATATACAGTGAAGTTAGGTGCATGATACAGATAATCTCTAAATTTTTCACATATTGCCCACTAAGTGCTAGGAATTCCAATTTTCCTGAATGCATGTGATAATTTTTCTCAGGTGGGGTCAGTGTTCTAGATCCGTACCCAATGACAACCATTTTGTTATTCTGTCTCTGATACAGAACCGCTCCCAATCCTTCCTGGGAAGCATCCACATGCAGAATAAATGGTTGAGTGAGATCTGGGTACCCAAGGATGGGAGGCTCACTGAGTTTGTCAATAAGTGTGTTTATTGTCTCTTGATGGGTCTGTGTCCA